TGTGGGATCTCATGATTCACCCTCCTTGGGGGCCAGCGTCCTCGCCGGCACATCGTTGGTGTCTGGTTCTGATACCATTTGTAACATCCAAGCCTACCGCTAGCAGATATTGTGTCCTCTTTGGGGAACTTCCCCTCAAAGCTTTAAAACGTGTCTGCTAGGGAAAGGTTTCCACACCCTTATAAGAAATGTTTCGTTTTCCTCTCCAATCGATGTGAGATCTCACAATCCACCTCCTTGAGGGCCCAGCATCCTCGCTGGCACACCGCTCGATATCTAACTCTGATACCATTTGTAACAGCCCAAACCCACCGCTAGTAGATATTATCCGCTTTGGCTCATTACGTATTGCTGTTAACCTCACGATTTTAAAACGTGTATATTAGGCAGAGGTTTCCACACCCTGTTACAATATCTAATGTCCCGACTGGTTAAACCAACTTGAGAAAAAAGAAATATGTTGTTGTTCTTACATTGTTGACAAGTGAGCTAAAAAGAAGAGTACAAGAAGGGGATTGAGGGTAGGATGGCTCATCCTAGCAGGGTACGTAGACAATTCCATTTTTTGTTATCCTTGTTTAGGGGGGTGTGTACTTAATTGTTGGTTCACTGTTAACGTCCAAAACCTGTTACCTCTTGCCCCTTTCATATGCTGGAGTCATATCAGTCTGCTTGCTTGACAGCAACATTTAACATCTCATCTGTTAGTATGATAGTTTCTGGCTTTTGTGACAGTCTGTGACGAACTACTCATCGGCATCCCGCACGAAGCTTGGGGGGTTGGAGGGTTGGTTATAATCTGCTTGATATTGGCATTCATACTCCCATCTTTTCTACCCTCATGGCTACTACGGACCAACCAAACCCAAGGACCGGGAAACCATCATGCATCCAAGAGTTCTTAAGTAATTCCAATGTTCTAAGGATGGAGCTCAGTTATTGTAGAGTGCCAAGCTGCGTGCCTTCCTGCCTGCCCTTATCTCACAAGGATTTCCTCATCACGTCGTGAGAAGGAAAAGGAAAATATGCAAGCTTTTGGTTCCCTTTTGTTCCCTTTTGTTCCCTTTTGAAATTTAAAATTCATGTCGACCCGTTGTTATAACAATTTATTGATTTTTATGTTCTACGTTGTCAAGTTGCGATTTTCACGAGCCTCATTTCTTTCCGTAGAAATGGGTTGTAAAGGGTATTTTAGTAGCAAGTCCTAGATTAATATCATGACTTCGACAAATTCTTATAATACAGAATGAAAATTTAAACTTTATCACTTAGAAAAAGTAAAAATTTCGTTTAAATTGAAAGATTAATATTTTTTAAACAAAGTTTTGTAACATTTTCGACCGTTACATGGTGGGTATTTTCATCCTAAATCATGTGTGGTTGGTGTACTACATTAATTCCAATGTTATTTTAAATACTTCACTGAGCTTCACGTGCCACGTGGCAACGCATTCGAATTCGACCGTTGCCGCGCTCAATACCTTTTTCTTACACCCCCATTTGGCGTCCTTTGTCTTCCTCGTTTCTCTCTGTCTCTTCTCTCGCCAATTCGATCTGCTCTCTGTTCTCTCCCTCCCTCTCGTTCAGATGGCGGTCGCTGCAGAAAACCAACCCCAGGAGAAGGTAAAGCGACGGAAATTTGTTATAGCATGTTTCTGACCGTGATTTTTGTGGTTTCGCTTTCGTTTGTTCTTCCAAGATTAGGATTGAATCATTCAATTTGTTTATCTTTCTCTCTTCTCACCATGAGGTTCATGTTCTTTTAGATTTTTATTATTTGATGTAAGAAATATATATATTTTTATAATTTCTGACGTGCTTATGAACACGATTAAATCTCCGCTTCTGAATTCTTGTACTATCTTTGATATCATGGTTGTAATTGAATACTGTGGATGTCTTCTGGTTTTAATTTCGTTTTAATGGAGTTCTTCGGTTTATACTAACACGGACTATCGATGTTAGTTTGTGAGTTTGTAGTATGGAAACCAGCTAATTAGGGTTTCGAATTATCTTGTAGCAGTTGACTTTTTTTTTTTCCAGGAACGCCGATCGTTTTTTTAAAATTATTGGAATTTGAATGTTAAATGTCTTCGCAGATCACTACCACGGAGGCCTCTGCTATCGAAAAGAGAAGATGGACGCTTAACGACTTTGACATCGGGAAGCCTCTCGGAAGAGGGAAATTCGGTCATGTGTATCTGGCTAGGGAAAAGAGGGTTCGTCTTACTCTCTCAACCTTACTTGTCCTGTGATTAAAATCGTAAATGTTCAGAGAGTTGTTACCCTGAGAAGATCATTTATCTTGCTTGCAAGTGTTAGGGAATTATACAGTTGGTTGCATCATTTTCCTCTCGTAATTTGTGAAAGCTTACTTGATTTCCATGGATTCCAAACAGAGTAATCAAATTGTGGCGCTGAAAGTTTTATTCAAGAGTCAGTTACAACAGTCGCAGGTTGAGCACCAGCTTCGTCGGGAAGTTGAAATACAGAGTCATCTTAGACACTCCAACATTCTGCGCCTTTATGGATACTTCTACGATCAAGTATTTCATATCTCTGAAAGTTTCTTCTATAAGTCAAGTAATTTAAAAAATTCACTCTGCAACATTCAGCCACTGACCTTCCCCCTCTTAAATGTTGTGGCTGCAGAAACGGATTTATTTGGTATTGGAATATGCTCCCAAAGGTGAGCTTTACAAGGAACTGCAGAAGTGCAAGTACTTCAGTGAGAGACGTGCTGCTACTGTAAGTTCCTCTCCTCTTTGCCCAGGTTTTGGTTCCACCTACCTGAATTTTCCGACGAAGTAGAGGTTTTTCTCAGTGAAGTAGGTTTTAAATTTCAATATTGTGTACTGAAACAGATATAACATTAGGGGATAATAAGCAAGTAATTTGCAATGTTGTTATGTACGCTAAATCTGATTTTATAATGATGTTTTAAATTTATGGTCATGAGGCAGTACATTGCGTCGTTGGCTCGAGCACTCATTTACTGTCATGGAAAACATGTAATCCACAGAGACATCAAACCAGAAAATCTTCTAATTGGTGCTCAGGTGTGGTTTCATTGAATCTATAGGTTCTTGGTCCTTGATGTTAGATTCTCTCTTTGGGACTTGAGTAATGAGGCTTTCCTGATGCAGGGTGAACTCAAGATCGCTGATTTTGGATGGTCGGTGCACACGTTTAACCGTAGGCGGACTATGTGTGGGACACTGGATTATCTGTCTCCTGAAATGGGTATGTATATTGAGACCGGACATCACAATTACTTGTCTTTTCTTCTGAAGCTACATTTTTCCAGTTGAAGTAGAGTGTGAGGGAATCTCAAAATGGGAGATAAAGATTATTAGTAATTCTAAATTCCGTTGAGTGTTGTTGCTTTAATGCTTCTTGTTCTCGACAGTGGAGAGTGTGGAACACGATGCAAGTGTGGATATCTGGAGTCTTGGTGTCCTGTGCTATGAGTTTCTCTATGGGGTACCCCCGTTTGAGGCTAAGGAACACTCTGACACGTACAGGAGGTAGATTTAATGGAAACTTTATATCTCTGATCTTTTGGGCCTTGCTGATTATAGTTTGAACTTCTCTGTGGGGTAGAGATCTCTCTCCATGGTTGATATAGTTTTATGTGACCGTGCCTGCAGAATTATGCAAGTTGATTTGACGTTTCCTCCAAGACCAATCATTTCTTCAACTGCAAAGGACCTTATCAGTCAGGTATTATAGCGTTATTAAGCCTTGCTGATATACTCAATAATCTTTGGCGTATTGAACGAACTGTGTTTGCTTTTATTGTTTGTTATCTGTGTAGATGCTTGTCAAGGAGTGCTCTCAACGGCTGCCACTACACAAAGTTCTCGAACACCCTTGGATTGTCCAAAATTCAGAGCCCTCTGGTGTATATAAGAGTTGATCTGCCTCGATAATGATCTCCATTACTTGTGTTGCGTCGGTGTTGTTTGAACTTCTCTGAGAGATTGTAAGCAATTACTAATCGATAATGTCCATTCAATTCTCACCCCATTTGTTTTCCTAATTCTTCCTCTTCTCTGGTCTTTAACATATGTTGTCTATATAAAACAAACAAACTGGTAACTTTTTGCCAAGCAAAATCTTGCGATTTGCTGCAATGCTCTATGCTCTTCAATATAGTTGCTTTCTACTATGGATGGATTTGGACCTCGAACTTTGTGGCTCTGAGAACCTTATGGTTTCAAAAATGAAAAATACAATGAGGCTGCCATACCCTCTTCTCTCCAATAACTAATCAAAGTGTTCCATGAAAACAACATCACTCAACCATTCCATTAAAGAACTAATGGGCAATACAATCGCAAGCCACCTTAGTACAAATCTACCAGATTCCTAACGATCAGGTTTGATTCGCAGCCATATGGTCACAAAACAGTGGACTTTTTGGCCTTAGAGCACATGGGCAAGGCCCACGCAGGCCTTTGAACACAGAAGTGAAGGGTGTTTTTATCTGGGATTGAAGCATCAGGCAAGTACCAGCTGGTTATTGAAGTAAGCAAACCTACTGTGCCAAGTGTGTTGACCGAAGGCTTGAGAAGAGCATTGCAGGCAGGATGTTTGGAGAAGATAGTGATTGAAGATGAGAACAGAACGGTGCACGATGTCATGGGGCGAGGAAACAGCAATGAGATTGGGATCCATGGAGGGGATTTGGGAGCAAGAGCTTGGATTTCGGGACAATGTTAGAAATCACAACTCTCCACAATGATTCCATATTCTCCATTTTGAGCATAAGCTCTCATAGTTTTGCTTTTGGTTTTCTAAAATGCCTCATATTCCTTGCTTATAAACTCATGATCATCCTCTAAATTAGCCACCGTGGAACTCGCTCCCAACAATCCTCAACAAATACATTGTAGTAGAAGGTGGAGGATCTTTTCGTGAAGAGCAACCTCAGTGATCAGGTGAATTGGCAGCCGGAGTGAGCGTGAAACATGTCCTAATGACGAGTCTCCTTAAGCGAATAGAAGTTTATTCATTTGAAAATAAGAGGATACAATGTTTAGCCAGCTCCGGGCTACTGAAAAGAATATGGGATTAATAGTAATTCAACACAATGACATTCTGTGTATGAAACATCAAAAGGCTAAGCTAATAACTTATGTATCCCTACTAAAAGGCAAAAATCTTGACTCTCTTAGTTTGGCTTGGTCGAGAGAGACAATTAATAAGAATATGTTGAAGGGCAGAATTTGCATCCTTCAATCACAATAATTGACTGTGTAATCAGATCATAAGCTTCTCAAAGCCGCACTGTGTCTAGAATGCATATCTGTATATGACCTCTGCAACACCATCTTCATCATTGCTGGGACCAATTAAGTTAGCAACAGCCTTTGTTTTCTCTGCTCCATTGCTCATAGCAATTCCAAGAGATGCCAATTCCAGCATCTCAATGTCATTTTCCCCATCTCCAATAGCCATTACCTACAGAATTCAAGCAGGTTAAGGTCCAAGAAAGACACTTTGGACGTGGCGCGTTAGGGAAGAATTTTAGCTTACCTCCTCGGAAGAAACTCCCAAATGATCGAGCAACAATTTTACTCCGCTACCTTTCGAGGTTCCACAGGGGACGATCTCAAGCATATCTGGTACAGCCTGAACAACCGAGGCGTGTTCCCCTGATGCCTCTGACCAGTATGGTCGAAGGACGCGTGAAACTCCCTCGGCAGTGTCCAAGAAAAGAAGTTTCTGTATGAGTTCACATGTTAAAATAAGTCATATGATTGCTATGGGAACCAATGCTGGGCTTATTCACACATTTTGATAGAAAGTATGCTTTGATGCTGAATCGTTCCTCATTTCTTTCTTTACTAATACACAAATGAGAGGGAGGCATCTCAGTCGAGAGCTTACCTGTATTTCAGCTGCAGCCAAAAGATTATCAACCGAGGACATGACCTCTGCCTGTAATACACAACCAATCAACATTCAAATCGAATTGGCTAAACAATTCAGTTCTCAGTAGTTAGCCATGTAAACTGAATAATCAGGAATTCCGCTTTCGTTTTTACCAGAGAAATCCGGACCATAAAATTTTTGTCTCACTTTATCATTATCTACTGAAAAGCTAGAAATATATCTCCTTTCGACAGAAAGAGAATGAACGTTAATTTGATCTTGATCCTTGTAGAGTGAAAAAGGGACTATACTGCATCCGCACGAACCTCCTGATAATATCCATAAATGACTTGTTTTTGGTAAGAGATGGACATTACTATATGTAAATTCGGGTCCATGGTACACATCAGTACTCTAATGCATTTCTCCCTCTAAGTCAGAATAAATATGTTTTCGGACCCTCTCTTTTAAATTAAGAGTGTATGTTCACGCACGAATCTCCACCTTTACAAGTACAAATATCACATTTACTACATATAAGACTTAGAACCATGACAAAGATATGTTCAAGTACCTTGGGCTCATGGTATATAGTGTGCAATGCATCAGTAAGTGGATGATCAAATAGAGTTAAGCAACGGCCTTCACCAAATGCAATCAGAGGAACATTCTTCTCTAAAGAATAAAGGCATGCCTGCACTTCAACAAACACAAATTTAGGTATCATTAACAAGCATCTTGTGTTAAAAAACCTTTTCCTTTATTAGGTTTGTTAGTTAACCGTTCATAAAACTATCATTATTTTCGGTGATTCTTACGGTTTTTAGTTTCAAACCGTACATAAAAGAGAGGGCAGCTAGCTGAGTCATTTTCTTTGGCAAGCATAACTACATGGATACATCTATTGTAGAATGTTTTGTGCTCGCATGGCTTTAATCCCCAAGACTCATCTTTAAAAAAATTTACTTAATCGTCATTGAAACTGCTGAATAGTACGTACAGCAAACAGCACGAGACGTACCTCTCTGCAGATATCTTGATCTAAGTTCCGCCTATAAATTTCCTTGCCTTGTCTACCATAAACAAGTAGTCCCTATCACCAAGGAAGGAAAGAGAATATATAATGCATAAGATTAAAGTTGGAGAAAACATAAAAGTAAACTGAAAGTTAAAGCCAGTCTCCCAACGTATAATCCAGATCTTCCATCGCTTGATGACACAAAGATCACCATTACAAGACATAAAAGCACCTCAAGAAAATTCCTAACATATAATCAAAAGTAGCCATGCATCAACTTTAGAAAGAAACATGAAGATGTTGAGGATTGTTGGGAGGGAGTCCCACATTGGCTAATTTAGAGGATGATCATGGGTTATAAGTAAGGAATACATCTTCATTGGTATGAGGCCTTCTGGGGAAGCCCAAAGGAAAGCCATGAGACCTTATACTCAAAGTGGACAATATCATACTATTGTGGAAAGTCGTGATTCCTAACATATGGTATCAGAGTCATCCCTTAATTTAGCCATGTCTATAAAATCCTCAAATGTCGAACAAAGAAGTTGTGAACCTTGCAAGTGTAATCAAAAGTGACTCATGTGTCGAACAAAGGGTGTACTTAGTTCGAGGGCTCTAGAGAAAGGAGTCAAGTCTCGATTAAGGGGAGCCTGTTCGAGGGCTACATAGACCTCAAGGGAGGCTCTATGGTGTACTTTGTTCGAGGGGAGGATTGTTGAGGATTGTTGGGAAGGAGTCCCACATTGGGTAATTTAGAAGATGATCATGGGTTTATAAGTAAGAAATACATCTTCATTGGTATGAGACCCTTTGGGGAAGTCCAAAGCAAAGCCATGAGAGCTTATGCTCAAAGTGGACAATATCATACTATTGTGGAGAGTCGTGATTCCTAATCGAAAAAGAGATAAAAAAGAAAAGAGGAGGGAAAAATAGAAACCTGTAAGAAAACTCCTGGAGAAAATTCAGACACGGCACCATCTTTTCCAGCTAAACCTGCCTTCTCCAAAATGCTTATTACTGCTGGGCGGGCCTAGTCCATGCATTAAATCTAACCATTATTCCTTAAATTGTGAAAATAAAGCAATAGCAGATGAAAGTTACAAGAAAAAAAACTACAAAAACACCCAGACATTCAGTGAAGAGTTAAGAACAGAACATGGAAAAACAGTTGGAAAACAAGCTTAAGGTCAATATCCTAACAATCAAGCAAAATGTCATACCTTTCCAGTAGCTATAACAACTTTCACACCTCTTGACAAGGCCTCCTTCAGGGCCTTGACAGTTGTTGGAGTAATTTGACTTTTACTGTTGAGCAATGTACCTACATATAATTCATATACTTAATACAAGTCAACACCACAGGTCGTGGAATAATTTGGATTCGCCTCAAGAGGGCTCTTACCATCCATATCACAGAAAATATAGCTGAACCTTGGGCGGTAGAATCGGAGACTTCCTTCTTTTTTCCTGTCTTTAACATGTGAATAGTAAGAACGTACACAGAGAACATGGTCTTACAACATAAGAACAGTAACAAATGTACAGAACATAACACAGCTTAATTATAATCACAAAGGAATTTTGGTGCATTGGTGCAGTCATTAGTAGAACAATAAAGCAGACTACTATAATTACCATCTGAAACTTCTGCAACTGAGTTTGAATTAGTTTCAGCATCAATTGCACTCTGAATCAGCCCTTTCCCTTTCCACTCTAAACTCTTCAAAAGTAGTTCCTCCTCCTTTTCCATTTCTACTTCAGCCTCTTCACTAATCTCATGATCAAATCCCAAAAGATGCAACAATCCGTGCACCTGTACAAACCCCATGGAATGATGAATTTCCTTTGCTTAGTTGAGTTCTTGATAGTAAAAATTTCTCAGGAGGCTAGAAAAGAAAAAAGATGGTTGTTTCAGTTTGGTTGCCTTTCTTTAAACTAGATTTTGGGCATACTTTTATACCGACTGCCTTTCTTTCCTTTCACATAGTTTTGGCATTCCTAAATCAAAAGAAAATGGATAAGTAAATCACTCAACTTTCCAGTTTTAGGAAATGAATCCTTGGACAGTTTAATTCCCATCGCCTTGAAAAAACAGGATTTGAAAATTGAAAGCCTAGTGATTTCTCCTCAAGGTGGATGGCGAAAATTTCCAAGAAGGTCAAGTTCTTTGTTTAGCAGGCTTTGCATGGTCCAGTTTAGAATACACATTAATGAGTTTCAAATGCTTGAAAATGAAGGATGCAGTGTGAGAAATGTGCTAATGATTGTGATATTGGGCCTATTTTATGTGTTGCATGGGAATGTGAAGCTTGGGAATAAAATGTTTGTGTATAGATTGTGCAAGAACTTTTAATTTTGAAACCAAATCCCATGGACCCATCATGCCCGCATACTAAACGCCATCTTCGTCTTACACGCTCCCCTAAAGGCACGTATGCTATGTGAATAGTAGCAATGTTACTAGTTCTCAAACATACGGATGCAAGGACAAAATTATTAGCTTCTATCTTAAAACAAAAAGGGCGATCAAGTGACGAACCAGGAGTATCCGAATCTCATCAAGGAGTGTGTGTCCCCGTTCCTCCGCCTGCCTCGCAGCAGTCTCAACAGAAATGACAATATCACCTAACATAAGCTGAAGATACAAAAATCAGTCAATCATTTATCATTCTCAAAGACATTAGTCCGTACTCACTTCTACTCAAGTTCTTACAATTGGAAGCTTCAGTTCTGGGACATGCTGTGACATGGACAGGACATCAGTGGCATGATCCTCGTCCCTCCATTCTTTGTTAAGTTTACAAATAAACTCGTCGTTACAAAGTAGCACGGACATCTCAACACTTTCAAATAAACCAACATCGTTTATTGAACTATCTCGAGTTTTGTATTGTGAATCCTTTAAATTGTTGAAAGCTAACTTCAGAGCCTTGGGAACATTCAAACGAAGCATTTCTGCAATACTCTGAAGCATTCAAAAAAAGGAAAGCTATCAGTATTAAATGATCAATAAAAAACGAACCTTGCAACAATGCAGAAGAGATCAGACATGAAAAACTTATTTTACTCCTAATTCTTGACATATTCTACCGATCCAACTTTGATATCTTAAAGCATCAATCTCTCAAATATTCTAACGTCAAAGCACTTGTAATCAAGAAGTAGAAATTCGTATCCACATATGAAATTATTGTCGTCTAGATGCATTTGGTGCATTGCACGTTAAGCAGCTGGGAGAAGCTATGTTCTAAAACCGTTGGGAGAAGTTGATGACACAACTGAATTTCATAGCTTAACTGCTTTTTTCGCTCTCATTTCCCTAAGATTTCTTTTCTAACCGTCCAAACCACTAGCAGATATTGTCCCCTTTGGGCTTTTCCTTTCGGGCTTCCCCTCAAGGTTTTTAAAACGCGTCTGTTAGGGAGAGGTTTTCACCCCCTTATAAAGAATGTTTCATTCCCCTCTCCAACCGACGTGAGATCTCACAATCCACCCTCCTTAGTGGTCCAACATCCTCGCTGGCACATCGCCCGGTGTCTAAAACCTCTCCCTAGCATACGTGTTTTAAAAATCTTGAGGGAAAGCCCAGAGAGGACGAAATCTGCTAGCGGTGGCTTAGGCTGTTACATTTAACGTAAAGAAAGTACAATATGATTCCTAGATTATTGCAATACCAAAATTAAATATAAGAGAGAGGAATGTGTCAAGTAGCAAGTCCACTTAGTAACGTGCTGCTCGTTTTCTTGAGTCTAAACAAAAGGAGGGTGGAGATTGAGAACAATGTCATTGAAAATTAATTCAACCTATAGACTCCTAGACGAATGCTAGGATATCATGCACAATTACAACATAGAATGCAACAGGATTGCCCAAAACAAGCATTCTCGATCCCTCTCATTATTACTCTTCCCACCATCATCATGAAATAAATTCTTTTATGAACGTATAATCAACAACAAAAAAATACCGAAAAAAGGACAGTGTAAAATGTACGTGAAGAAATGGATACCAAAAGTTCAGGGTCGTCCGGCAACTTTTCTTCGATACAGATACTGACGTTGAGCTCTAATTCCTTTCTCTTGGTTTTGGGGACTCGTCTCCTCACCTTTCTATACTCTCTTTGCCCACAGAAAATCCTTCCACAAGGCCTCTGTACCTTATTGTATGTTCCCGACAAGACGTAGAAACTCCGAACAAATTGTGGAAATGTTATTTTGGTCGAAATGCGGTCGTAGCCATTCGCTTGACAAACAGGCGGCAAGTGCGAAGAAGATCGCCATGAATGGAAACTTTGACGGTTGGGAGAGACAGGGAGATGGGCAGCTAGCGCCATGTGAACCCCAGAGGAGAATGGACGGTGGGAGGCGCGAAGAAGAGGGGACGCTCGGAGAAGCATGTAGGATAAGAGATACAGAGTGGCGCTGTCGTGCCGGCTTTGGGTATTGCCTGCTTTGTTTGCGAGGATGTTGGAAGAATGTGATTGCGCCCACCCAAGCCTGAAATTGAAGAAGGGATCTTAATGAATCAGGGCTTTCCTTTTCTTTTGATATTTAGCCCTCTTTTTTCACTTCTATGTAAATAACGCCTCCACAAGCCCACACTTTTGAGCTTTGTCTCTTGTTTTGGAAAATTATCATTAGTTCCCTTGTTTCCTATGTGTTAATTGACACTAATACCCTTGTTTCGTATGCGTTAGTGTGGAGATTCAAACCGAGGTATTGGTGTTTCAACGCTAAGTTGTTAGTATTCTTATTTAGAAAAATTATTGAATGAGGTTGTCAGAACGTGACTATCTCTTTGTAACTATTGGACTAAGATTCGAGAATCGCTCTAATAACCATAAGATATGGATTTTAAATACTTTTGTAATTCTTTCCCAAATATCCAATGGGGCTAGATGTCAAGGTCATGCTTGTCCAAGGTGTGTTGCCTAATAGCTACATGTCGAATGTCCCTATCATACTTGTCCAAAACGTGTTGTTCATGGTCGCAAGCCTGTTCCAAACCCCTTTTACATGTTTCCATCTTACATAGGTTTTTACTGTTTCATTCTATGTCAATATGGGGTGTATGACCGGTCACCAAAATCATGTCTGCACGTACAAATGCTAAAATACCCAAAATGTACTAAAAGGGGATATGACTAGTTGTCAATTTTTCCTAACTGAGTTATATGCTATCAAAATCGTTGTCGCCTACTCGCTTTTAGCTTATAACATTGTTTTCTTTACAATTATTTGAAACGTATTTTCTCACACACGTTTTCCAAAATGCTTATCTCAAAACATGACTTCAGACTCGAGCACACGCCGACATTATCCATGAAGTCCAAACTTCACATAACTGATTTGTTCACTGTGTTTGAACAAGTATCACACAATCGTTGTGAGTCCACCACATTAAAACTGCGTCTTCCAATCATTCTTCTCTTGTTTCTGTTCTTTTAATCAGAACTTAGAGGGATGCAGTAAATTCCCAAGAAGAATTCACAACCAGAACTCGTATTTCAGAATATACAGAACATAAATATGTACACACACGGTAGCAGTTGCCTCAACCTTGAAACCCAAGGCTGCGCTTACAGGTTGCAGCTAGTAAAATGAAAACTTATATGGGAAAATCCTAACTTCGTATCACTCTTTGGCATAAACTGTCGCCATTGCTGCTCAAAATTGCTGCTATTCTGAGCCAAGACTTGGAAAGATTTGACAAGAACATTTCCAGTACCTTTCAGAATTTTGAAAGGAGTTTCACTTCATTTCAGTGGCAACAACAGCATTCCTTAACACACGTAGCCTCTTCACAGTGGAAACAAACATGCTGCATGAAAATGAAGCCCCATAAGCCCACCATACAAAGAAAGCGAAAGTTATGACTTAAAAAAGGTTCCTGTTTCATAAACTGAACAGCAAGCAAGGAAGCATTGTAACCGTCTAAACCTACTGCTAGCAGTTATTGTCTGTTTTGACCTATTACGTATTTCTGTCAGCCTCACGATTTTAAAACGCATTTACTAGGGAGAGGGCTCCACACCCTTATAAAGAATGTTTCGCTCCCCTCTCTAACTAACGTGGGATCTCACAATCATTCTAAATTCTAAACAAGAAAGTAATACTAAAAGGACTCCTTTTCCTAAGATTGTATTGGATTTGGTCAGGAAAATGATAGTGACATGGGCTACAAGATCAGTGGTGGGAAATGCTTACTTCCATGGGACATCACCAACAAGCATCCTGTCCCCTTCATTATCATAGTAAACTAGAGTGTACAGCCCGTTTTCGTGTTTGGAATCAGATAACGAGGTCGTTTCCTCCACCTTTCTCCCATCTTCAGCTGCTAGATAGTTTCTCTGTGCTGTAGTTAATTAGGAGGAAGAACATAAGAACAAGTGAGCAGTAATTTCAGCAATAACAACTTAATTTGAAACTTAGTCTTAGTTTGATTAGCATTCGGTTTTTTGTTTTTGGATTTTGAAAACTAAGCTTATAAACACAACTTTCACGTATAGGTTCATTTGTTTTATTGTCACACCCCAAGCCCATCGCTAATAGTTGTTGTCCTCTTTGGGCTTCCCTGGGAGAGGTTTCCACTCCCTTATAAAGAATGTTTCGTTGTCCTCTCCAACCGATGTGGGATCTCACAATCCACCCTCCTTCAAAGCCAGCGTCTCTACTAGCACACCGCTCAATGTCTAGCTCTGATACCATTTGTAACGGCTTAAGCCCACCGCTAGTAGATATTGTCCTATTTGGGCTTTCCCTTTCGGGCTTCTCCTCAAAATTTTAAAATACGTCTGCTAGGGAGAGGTTTCCACGCCCTTATAAATAATGTTTCGTTCTCATCACTTTCTATCCCATATTTCAAAAAACGAAAACGAAGCCAAGTTTTGAAAACTATTTAAAAACTTGTTTTTGTTTTTGAAATTCGACTGAGAGTTCAAATGTTTCCTTAGTAAACGAAAAAACTAAAGTAAATAAATTGGGAGAAAACAAGCGTAAATTTCAAAAGCTAAAAGACTAAAAACGAAATCATTATCAAGTGGACTTACTAGTTATCATTTACAAAAGAAATATGCAGTATAGGACAAAATATCGATTGAATGCAGGGCATTGAAGGATTACCTGCAAGAAGACAGTGGAAGAGTTCGTCTATGCCAGCAGACAGTTGATCATAACCATTATAGGCTTGGAGATTCAGTTTTCTTCCGATGGGAATTCCATCCATACAAACTTTTACAAACATTTGTCCGTTGGAACAGTGAGATAATTTTGAGCCATTCTCATCCTGCAGAGCCTCTTTTGACAACACAAGAGAGTTAGGCTTTGAAGAGCGGGGGCCAGCAAAGTTCTTCCTGAAAGAACGAATGGGAGGCCAACCAACGGCTGATGCAACTGAAGCCCTGCTGACAAGATGTTGAATTCCTTGCAATTAGCAACTTAGCATTACTTGTTTCCTTGAAAAACTTCAAGACATAGACGTTTTGAAATTAAAACTAGTTCTGAATGAGAAAAAGGCCCAATTATAAGTAAAAGCAAATATGTAACGGCCTAAGTCCACCACGGGTAGATATTGTCCACTCTGGCTCGTTATGTATTACTGTCAGCCTCACAGTTTTAAAACATGTCTTTTAGAGAGAGGTTTCCACACCCTTTTAAGAAATGTTTCGTTCTCCTCTCCAGCGTCCTCATTGGCACACCGCTTAGTGTCTGGCTCTGATACTATTTGTAACAATTCAAGCCTACTGTTAACAGATATTGTCTGTTTTGACCCGTTATGCATTGCCATCAGCCTCACGGTTTTTAAAAGTGTCTACTAGGGAGAGATTTTCACACCTTTATAAGGAATGTTTCGTTCTCCTCTTTATCCAACGTGGGATCTCACGTAGAACGAAGTAATAATAGTCGGGAGATAGACCATATCAGTGACATGATATCCATCGCTTAAAAAAGTAGAGTTTAATATGAATGACTAGAAAACAGGACATAAGAGAAGATAAGCTGACTAACCTTTTGTCATGGTGTTTAGGTTCAGATGATTCTGCAGGAACTGACCCATTATTGAGACATGATTTCCCAGTTGAGTAAGGAAACTCAGCTGTTTTCAAGCTGCATGTCTTTGATGGCTCCTCTGACACCAAGTCCAATCTCTGAGGCATCAACAAATGTTCTAAATATAACGACTGTGATGGCTGAGATAGCTTCTGGGCTTCCCTCTGAAAAGCTGAAGATGGTAAGGAAGCACCAAGACAATGAATGAGAGGAGCCACCTTCTCAGCTGTTTTCTCAGAAAAAACCAGCTTGTGGGGTCGGAATTCATCACAAAGCGCCCTTTTGTTGCTTCTAATGTTCAAACAAGAAGGAAAGAGCTTAGCAGAAGAGAGATGGGATTCATCACTTTCATGGCTAAAATTCAAGCAGTTACTTCCTTCTGCAAGCCTGTCTTCTCCAGGCAATCCAAGTCTAAGCTCAAGTTTATTGTTCTCACTAACAGAACTCCCAACACCAATTCTATTCAACTCCCATTCCCTGTCCCCAGAAATTAAGTCAAGAAGCTCAGGACGCCTGCTCATTGTGATGCTTGAAAGACAAATCAATTGCTGTGATGCTTCAAACCATCATCTCAGAAGCCATATATATGAGAAGAAGCAAAAACAGAGAGAAAATTTGGATGAGGACAAATATCAAACAGGTGGTGTGCATTAGTTAAAGCAAATGCAAAAAAGGCAGATAAGGATAGGGGGTCCGGGTAAAAGGGATAACTACGTTAGATCACACTTGATTTCCACCCTAAACTTAAAATTCCCAGCAAAAAAAGCACCCAAAAAGCACTAAGAAAATGGTTAAGCCATATACCCCACCATCTTTACGAGAGCAAAAGATCCCAAGAATGGTTTACCACATTGAAATGTTGGAAGAGGTGGTGGAACTGGAACGTGTTGAGCCCTTAGAGGAATAGGAGAAGCTCTGAAACGATGAATCATTTTGGCTCAATCAGCACTAAAGATAGAAACTACTGAGCTTTCACATGGCAGATTCGTTCAAGTGCGAAGAACTACTTGAATTTGCTCTCATGAATATGACATAACATAACACAAACCTATATATGTCAACCTCCACCAAAACGTGCCATAAAAATTTATTCTCTTTTAAGAACGCCAAATTTATTTATTTTATTGGCATTGTTTATAGAGCCGTTATCCTACAGCTAATAGATATTATCCGATTTCACCCGTAACTTATTGTCGTCAGTCTAAAGATTTTAAAACGCTTATGCTATAGAGAGATTTTCACATCCTTATACCGAATATTTTGTTCCCCTCTACAACGATATAAAATCTCACAATCTATCTATTCGAGGCCAACGACAAACTGTCTAGTGTCGGACTCTTATATCATTTGTAACAATCTAAGCTCAGAGCTAAAAGATATTGTCTGTTTTGGTCCGTTATGTATTACTCTCAATTTCACGATTTTAAAACGAGTTTAGTAACGGTGAGGTTGGGTCCATATTTTAAAATTATTTATAAAAATACATTATTTAAAAAAAAATTAATAAATGAAATATAAAAAATTAAATAAAATAGTATATATTAATTATAGTTGAATTAAGCTACACAATTTGTTTTTAATATTTATTAGTTTTTCTTTGTATTTTAATTTTCAAGGATACCAAAGAGAGACAAAACAATAAATACATTAAATATATATATATATATATATATATTATAATTTTATTACTTAAATTATAAAATTAATCTTTTGATTATTTTAATTTAATTTCTATAATTTACTTAAACATCCATATTAGTAAGAGTTAACTATATTGTAATTTTTCATGAATTTAATTAAATCATACATTTTTTATAAAACTTTTAAAATGTATAATTAACTTAAATTTATGTTACAAAGTAAGAAAAAAAAAAGTACTATTGACTTAGGGTATCATAATCGTTGAAGTCGTTTGAAAATTTCTTATAAAAAAAATCTATCGATAGAGATGGAAATAGAGTCGAATCTAAAATTAATAGCAACATCATACGGAAGTGAATATCATCATCATCAACATCTAATAAAGTTGTTGCACCAATCCTCGTGGCGGACCCCTACATTCCACTTAATTAGATACGAATTTATATAGCCATTATAATTTCCCACTTTCGCTTTTATTATAAAGCCTTTTTTAGCTTTTAATATGCTCGATCTTTTTTTCTCTAATGATTTTGTAAAAGAAAATGGATTTATACGAAAAGATTGTGACCAATACAAGTCCTTATCCTATTTGTTCGATAGAAGTATCCTATTATAGAAGTCAAACTTACTGCGTTTTAACTTTTGGCTTGTCAAGTTTGATTCATCTATGAATAGGTCAAGTCGTGTGTGTGAGGTCTTTTCATATTAGAATTGTTTTGTACCGTGTAAATTTAAAACCATATTTGATTTGAGGGTTTGTTGTTGCGTAATAAACTAAGGCCATTGTTAGGAGATATTGTTTGCTTCGACATCTATTAGGGAGAGGTGCGTACACCGTTGTAAAAAAATGTTTTGTTCTCCCTCTCCAATCGATATGGGATCTCGCAATGGACTCCTCTCTCGGAGGTCCAGTATTATTGTTGATTTGTTGTCGTCGTTTGTATTGAATGACGACAAAACAACGAGGGAACGAGAAGAAATGAAGAAATAGTGAAAAAAAAACAAAAAATAAGAGAATTTAAACACGGGGAAGAGAAACGAGGAAACATAAATAAGGGTTTTTGTGTGGCTTTATCTGTAATGTCCTACATTGGTTGTAGGAGTAGAACAAAATACCATTTATAAAGGTGCGGAAAACTTCCCCTAGCATACGCGTTTTAAAGCCTTGAGGGGAAGCCCAAAAGGGAAAGTCTAAAGAGGACAATATCTGCTAACGGTGTATTTGGGTGTTATAAATAGTATCAGAGTCAGACACCGGATGATGTGCCAGCCTTCTCGCTATTTCTCGAAGGGGGTAGACATGAGGCAGTGTGTCAATAAGGACGCTGGATCCTGAAGGGGGTGAATTTGGTGGCGGTCCCAAAAAGAACAATATCTACTAGCGGTGGATCTGGACCGTTACCTTAATTTTGGGTTAAGTTCAACTAGGTGGACGATTTTTAAAAAAATTCATAAATAATTAGAAAAAAAAAGACAATTTTGAAGTCTTAGTACACACAATTTAATATACTAATTAATTAAAAAAAAGTTTAGAAATGTCAATGTCCGGTCAAACAGATAGGTATAAAAGTAATGTTTAAATATTTTTTTAGATATTTTAAAACTATAAATATCTATTAGACGCGTGGTTAAAAATTTATAGACCAATTATACAATTTTAAAAAATAATATTTTTTAGCCTTTATTTTATTTTATTTTAGTTTGGTTTATTTGTAATCATAAACCCATAAAAAGCCCAAAAGGCAACGAAGGCGGGGATCCGTCCAGCCGGCCCGTTTGGATATTTCTGATCGACGAGGGAACTGCAAATACTCCTCGGTCCAAACACCAAGAAACAGTGGAGCATGGAGCGTCTCCGGCCGAGGGACAGACAGATGTTTTCCGGGTTTACGAAGGGCGAGGTAGGTATCTCATTCATGTCTCGTAGGATCTGAGCGCTTGTTTGATTATTTTGGTGTTGCTGGATTTACAATATCAAAGTATAATTTTGAAGTACGGTCTCTCATCGTCTATGCTGCGTGACACAATCGCGCTTTCGAAGGCAGCGGACTAGCGATTGTGCGGCACTCACTTTCCAGCAACAAGTGAGTTGAGCCTATTTGTTCTTGCGTCGCCTACGGCCAAGCGACGTACGGTCAAGCCTCTAGCCTCGGTTTTAAAAGAAGGTTTTAGAAAACGAGGAGAGAGAGAGATTTGAGAAAGAGAGATTTTAGAAAGAGACGTTATATAAGCAAGCAAGAGAAAGATAACAACGGCTTAGCATATATAACCTTGGGTAGGGAGAAGTTGACGACTAGTCATATCCCCCTATAGTACATTCTGGGCCATTTTAGTTCTGGCAGGCGTAGACATGATATTTTTGAGGTGTCATACGCTTTAGAATTACAAAAGGAAAAACACTAGAATGAAAAGACATGACAAGGGTTTGGCTTGTCATGGGCATGCGGCCATGGGCAACATGCCCTGGACAAGCATGACCGTGACACTGCGCAGGGTATTTATATGCATTTTGTGAACTATTGATGTTTTTTAATGATCGTGTCCGAAGTATGTTTTCATGTTTAGTCGTGCAATGGAAGCTACAACGTAGCTTGTTTTGATGCGTGAACTATTGCATAATTTGTAATATTACCTCATAGTTGATGATAAGTGAATGGACTTCATTTTATGTTTTTCGACTACATGTTCTTTCTGTTTCAACATGTTTCATTAGCAAACAGGAAGGGTTTAGTGGTGGAGTTTTTGTTTTTCTTTAATTTCTGTTCTTTGGTTTATTGGCCTCATCGGTGTCCCGCCGTACATTGGTTCCCTAACTCCAACATTTGAAGTATTAACTTACCACTGTTCTGTACCAAAAGCTTGACGTTGGGGCATATTAAAGCTTTTATTTGTATTCTTCTACATTTGAAAGGCGAAAAGAGGGAGAATTACAAGTTAGGAGTCAAATATTTTGGCTACCTATACTGGAAAAGGATTACTATATCAATGTCATCTACCTTAGAAAGCAACTCTCCTTAAACTTATTTGAGTCACAAATTGTATTCAGAAACATGCCCTTGTACAAAACAACAAAGAGCAAGTGAATCTTCCTATTTTTTTTTTCGTCACAATGAAAAATAGTTTTTGCAAATGTAAAGTTGAGAAGGCAAGAAAAATAATTTTCCCGGTTTCTTTTGTTTTTTAGGACTCCTCCTGTGCGTGTATTTTGATTTCCACCAGCCCGGAAGCGCTCTTGTTAATACCCCCGACTCTTTGCCTTCTTTTTTTGGTGCACTCGGAACAATGTTTTCTGTGTGGTCTCATGCTTGTATGCTCTTATCATCCATCTAATTGAAATTTTTGCCTTTTATTAAATAAAAACAAGCCTTCTGAGAAGCAGAACTAATTACGTATAACTTGTTGCTTTTATTGTGTTTTCTTCAAATGAAAAAAGAGTTTTTTAATAAATTTTATTTTGAGGATATTCTGGACTCTTGATGTCATATTTATTTCTTTTCTTTCATTTGGTACCTTTACACTGAATCCATTATAAAATATACTTTTGCATCAATTTAGAATTTCCTTTTGGATTGAGAGCTTCTTGTACATACTTCTTATAACATTTTAGTTTTCCCATCCCACATGGCTTTAAACTTTGCAAACAGATAGCGAAAATGGAGAAATTGATAGAGGAATCAGGAGAACAATTGCTTGATCGAGATTTTTGTCAAAAAGTTACCAAACGTTTCAAGTGAGTATCATTTTTCTTGTTATCATAAAACTTTTAATTAATCTTTAAATATGTATATGACGTATGTATAATGTTGAGTTCTCTTGTTTGACATTCCATGTCTATACAGTCGGTCCTCCGGTCGTGCTGGGAAGCCTGTAATAAAGTGGATGGAGGTTATCATATTGTTTATGTTTTTTCTTATTCTGTTTTTTTTTTAAATTTTTTTATAAGTAATATTCTACTTCTATTGTTGTATATCTTGCGAATAGGACTTGATGAACCTTTTTTTATTGGCCTTTGGAAATCGTTGTGGAGATTCTTGGTAGAGAGAGAGATTCATGGTGGTACCAGCTTACATTGAGTGTTCACACATCTTAATTTTCAGGACGTCTCCCTTAATTTGATTAGTGGGCGTGTCCTCCAACCTTTGGAGAAGGATAAAAGGGCAAAGAGTATTCTTATTGAACATTTCTTAGATTTAAACTCTTGTAGCTACTCTATTCTTCAAACTAAATCCAATTAGGAAGTCCTTGGGTAGTTCCTTGACTTGAGCTTGGGTGATACCTCCTCCTTCCTTATTATATATTGGTTTTGCTACATTGAAGTTCTACGTTTCCTAGTGGGTACTTTGGCAGGGTACTTTGGTAACTAGTGGGTATTTGGAAAGAGAAGAATAAAAAGTTTTTTGAAGCTTGATTTTTCAGTGGGGTTATGTTTGGAGTCTTGCATCACTGCAAATCTCCCATAATTACAACAGTAGAGTCTTATATGGGTGTCCTGAGATGTTTCTTTTTTTTTTTTTCTTTTCCGTCTTCTCCGTATTTACTGTTCTTTATCTGATCTTTTGTATTTTCATGTTTGAGCAAAAAGGTTCTGGTGAAAAGTTTGTATCCATACAATGTTACAGGTATACGATTGGTTTGAAAGCAGACTGCAAGACTTCCCAAAAATTGAAAAGAGGATGTCTGAAATTCCCAAAGCTTGCCCTTCCAATAAGACTCAGGAAAGTTCTCAAGGCCCCGAAGGTAATTTGAGTTAAGGTTTGCTTCCAATGTTTAAGGCAAAGTTACTCAGCTGTAGGATAGTCTATTGTTAAACGTCAGTTCCTTTCTACTTATTACTCTAACCGCAACCTTCATACCTCTTCATTTGGACATATGTTTACAATATTTTCATTTGGAACAATTTGAATGATGCTTTCAAGTGATCTAAAATTTGAATTTATTGAGAATATGTTAGCCTCCAATAGAAAATGTTCGTTCTTTTTCATTGATGAGATGAAATCTAAGCAATTCGGTGCAACAGAAAACGTTTTTTGTACAAAAGGAAAAAGGGAAAATGTCTCCCCTGAGGGCTAGTAAGTATTATATGGGTTCGACATATGTGAGATACAGGTAGGGGTAGGTTGTATTTTGGCAAGGTTTGTGCGTAGATAGTGGCTAGCCTCTTGAGTTGGTTTAGACATTATATCATGTACGGTGTGCATTTGCACCCTCTTGAGCTCACTTTTAGTAATTAACAGTTTTGTCCTAACATTAATCTACATATTAAGAAATGTTTAATTTCACCCGCATATAGCTGCATTTCCATTAAATAAATGCACTAGTGCAATGCATGGAGCAGGGGCAAGTTGAGGCAATATTTTCATTTGGTATTTTGCTTGCCCTTGGACTTGAGATCTTTTGTCCTCTCTTCCACGGTCATTTTTAAGATACATTTTCTTGATTGGTTGTTTATTACTGTAGTTATATTGGTTTGATTATTTAATTGCATGTTCCCAAATTTTTTTTTTTTTTTCCTTCCCTAGTTTTTCTATTGTGTAGTTGGACTATTTAACATAGAATATGGAGCTAACTACCATAGGTTGACCTGATGGTCATTGAGAGGCTAGTGTAAAAACACAAGGTATTTTGGGGTAATGGGTTCACACACACGGTGTTGAGGTGTTGTAACTCCTACATAGGATATTAAAATTGTATGAGTTTCTTTACAACTAAATATGGTAAGGTCAAATACTTGTCGTGTGAAATTAATTAGTGTGCGTAATGTGTAGTGGATATTTGCACTCCCTATTAACAAAAAAAAAAAAAGAAAAAAAAAAAGGAATTAGACTGTGTTTTTTATTGTATTTTATAATCTTTTTATTGAAATTAATTTGTGCAGATGGGACCTTTTTCTTTTGCTCCTCCACATGCTAATGACCTTTGTTTAAAAGCAGGCAAAAAGAAACCAGATTTGTCAGAGTTGGAATTTGAAGCAAGGTCTTCAAAAGATGGTGCATGGTATGTGAAGAAAACACTGCCATTAATTTTGACTAATAAAGTTGGTTCTGTTTGGTTGGGTGCATCTTTTGGGTGCCTGTCTCTATATTTGCTCTGATGGTCTTTAATTGAGCTAAGAAACATATGCTTAAATTCAGTCTTTTACGGATTGCATATGGCTCGCTATGGATATCAGCAGATAGAAGAGTGAGCTATCTAGATAGACGGGCTAAGTTTAACGGTATCTTTGAGTTTCAAATCTGACAATTTCCTTCTTTTCTTGAGCATTTTTGGGGTTTGATTCAAAATTAAGCTTTCTTTTGCCTAACTCCGTCTTGGCCATAGATTGAGTTGGAGCCTTGGAAATAAGGAATAGGAGTTTCAAGGGAAAATATATAGGATTGATTGGAAGTGTGGGATTGGCCTTGTATATTGTTTGTAGTCGGCTCCCTCTCTTTATGGAGCTTCTCTTGATGACGGGCTCTCTTAAACTCCTTGGCTTCCCCTTCCAGATCTGATGTCTGGTCCTCTGTAGTATTTCGTTCAGCGGCATCTTTGTTTCTGATCACAAACAATCTCTATAAATCGTAAACAAAAAATAAATGCACTATGAAGTAAGAATTGGGAAGTTATGACACACATTGAATTGCATGTCCATGTAGCCATTTAAAATCATACTATCAGTGTGATTACTTTGTAACTGCTATTGAAAAATCACTTTTGGTTTACTGCGATGTTAATTTGATTCATAAGCACGGTTGTTTTTTTAATAGCATATGCAGATTGACATGTTTCAGTATAATATCTCAAAACAGCATGCCTCTTATTCAGTCTTCTCCTCACGACAAGCAGGCTGCCTGTTGAATCTAATTAGGAAATTTCTTCTGGGTATCTGAATGTAAATTGTACTGGATTGAAGGTTGAATGTGGTGGCTAACTACATGAAGGAGATGATTTTACTATGAAAATCTTTTACGTTCAGGTTATTTAAGGGGAAAAAATAATACAGAAAAGAATGAGAACTCTACGTTGGTTTTAGATGAATCTTTATTTATGGTTTCTGCTTGTTTCTTAATCCATTTCAATTTTTTCCGGGGTTCTGATGACATTCCACTAATATTTTGTAGGTATGATGTTGCTATGTTCCTTACACATAGATTTCTTAGTTCAGGCGAAGCTGTGAGTCTTGGAACCATCACATTTTTTTTCCGTCTTGTATTATGATTTATCATGCCTTCCATGATTTGTTGACCCAAGTGAGCTCATTGTTCACAAAAGGCGTCTAGGTTTGAGGAACACGCTTAAGTTATACATGTATTTATGTATGTGATATGAGTATCTGAGTATAATTGCATGCTAGTTTTCAGTTGCGGATGGAATGTATAGTTGTCTGATTGGTTTGCCGATTCATTAAAGGAAGTGCGTGTCAGATTTGTTGGATTTGGAGCTGAGGAAGATGAATGGGTCAACATAAAACAGTCAGTACGAGAACGCTCTGTCCCTCTAGAACATTCAGAGTGCCAGAAGGTGAAGGCTGGGGACCTTGTACTCTGCTTCCAGGTGACTATGCAAAACATTCAATTGTTCATTTCTCAGTAGTCCACTTCATCTTAGAGTGTTACAACATTTTTAGGAGAGGAGGGATCAGGCAATCTACTACGATGCCCATATTGTAGAAGTCCAGAGGAGAATGCATGATATTAGGGGCTGCAGGTGTCTTTTCTTGATTCGTTACGATCATGATAGCACCGAGGCAAGTATATCATTTTCTTATACTTTGTCAATCGTAATTTCAGCTTTTGAAGGAATTCTCACACACTTATCCATCCAATTACCAGGAAAAAGTTCGTTTGAGAAGATTATGTCGCAGACCGGCACATCAATTCTAATCTGTCTTTGCCATCGATTCATCACCTTTCCATGTGTCACTCCAACATCTAAGCTGGAGAGTGAAGACATGGAATGGTTTGCCTCAGAAAGCACAATAGCTCAAGCTAGTTTTGTCTGTTCTTTCAGCAGGTTGAGGTAATGTTGTATGTAAAATTTCATAATAGAACCGGTTTCATGTTTTCACCGTATTGCTTCTGTAACCATGGCATCTTTAATTTCTTCCGAAGACGATAAACCTCGGGGACAAGAATGGGACACGCACATGTAATTGTTGCAGATACTCGTCTCTGCTAATCGGGCAAAGACGAGTTCAAAGTTTATGTAGGCTTGCAAATCTCTGTCCTAACTCTAACCAGATTACTAAAACATATTAGAGTATATTAATGAATGATTTGTATGATGATCTTAGAAAGAAAAAAGGAATTTATAGGTGTAAGGATGAAGGGGTTTTGCTTTAATTGCAGGGCTGGGGTTGAAGTTGAATTAATTGTAAAGTGAAGGGGAGGGGGAAGAAACATGAGATGCATTTTGTTGGTTTGATGATTTTCGTTTGAAGGGGTTATTTATTTCAGCTTCAGGGTTCATTCAGCCCATAGTTTTGGAACAATACCATCTAGTTTCTATAGTACAAACTGAAAGAACAGTGATTGTAATTAAATTCAGTTGCATACCATCTGCCCTTTTTCTTTTCATTGTTGGTGGTGAGGGACTTTAAAAGTTTACCCTATCACTTCTTCAACTGCATCTCTTGCACTTAAACCCCATCCATATATTCTCTCTCTCTCTCTCCAACTTCTCACTCATATAACCACCCTTAATTATGTGTTTTGAGATTGTTTTTAGCTTCACACTACTCTCCACATATTTGATTTTGTGTTAGATTTTTTTAGTTGGACAAATACACGAGAGGACGAGATAGGAGGTTCAAACATCTAATCTCTTAGTTCAAAGTACATGTATAGGATACTCAAATTGGCTGATCTTAAGAGCAACTCATGTGAGTCCGATAAGTTTGATTTATACTTGATTTAGTTTTTAGAAGATTTAGTTTGCAAGTTTCAAATTTAGGAGATAACGTCTAGATATTTAAAATCTAGACGATTTTAGAATGGTAAGAGATAAGATGTGTGGCTTGCCATTGTTTAGCCTCGACTACAAATACCTCTTCATCCTATTAAGTTTTTCATCACAAGAATAAAAAAAAAATAAAGTGGAGTAGTATTCTCCGGAGTATATTGTATGTACAGCTTTCAATCGAAGATATAATATCTTAATCAATTGAGTTACGCTCGTATGAGAGGAGTCGTATGAATGAAAAAAAGCAGATGCCTAAAAGTGAGGGGATTCACATAAATTAATGAAGGGTTTTGGGTATTAAGAAACAAAAAGTGAAAGGATAAAAGCAAAGATACACGCCCGTGAAGAAGAAGAAGAAGAAGAAGAAGGGGTATCATTATTCAAGTTAGAGAGCCCATATGAATGGATTTTAAGTATCATTATTTAGTGTGCGTCTCTTTCTGCAATGCATGGCAGTGGACTTCACGGAATCCTTATTCAACTTAATATCTCCCTATTCTCTCCCCCTTTCTTTTTGTGATATCCATGCAATGGAATCCACTTTCTTTTTTTCTTCTAAACAAAGAACAAAATCCTTCCAACTAAATAAAGAAAAAGATTAGGTAAACAAACCAATGGCTACCATAATCGTATTTCAACACTCCGAGACTTGAACCGTAATAACTAAACCTTATCTGTTAGTAAATATTGTCTACTTTGCCTAGTGTCTGCTTAGGGAGAGGTTTTCACGCCCTGGATAAGAAATGCGTCGTTCCTCTCTCCAAGGTGGGATCATTGATCACTCCTTTAGAGGTCAAGCATCCCACACCGCTAGTGTATGACTCTAATACCATTTGTAATAACCCAAACCCACCACTATTAGATATTGTTCGATTTGACCCGTTACGTATCGTCATTAGCCTCACGGTTTTAAAACAATCTTTGTTAAGGAGAGACTTCCACACCCTTGTAAGGAATGCTTCGTTTCCCTCTTCAACCTACGTGGGATGGGATCTCACGTCAACAAACCTAGAAGAAATTTGAAAGTCATGAAAGAGTAGAATTGGGTCAAATTTGTGATCTTTCTTCCTTTCATTTTCTGGTGCACGAGTGAACCAGCTGAAAGAACCAGTAATATTCTAGAAAACAACCAATGGAGCTCCACTTCCATGCACTACTTCATCCACCAAAACTATGATTTCTAGCTTCAATTTATCCATAATCTTGTTCATGATCATAAAAAAATTAATCAAACCCACTTCAGGCTAATTGGGATATGATCAACTGCTCATATATTTGTATGTTTAAGAGATTAGATTAGATTAATTTGACATGAGGAGATTATAAACATGCTTGATCTAGGAACAACATTAAATCACCTAGTAGCTGGCTGGCTATACATAATAGAGGCTCGTGAATCCCTCACGAGAGCATAAATATATATATATATATATATGAAATGTGAGAAACCCTTGAAATTAAATACAAATTCATGGTCCCATATGGCATCTCCATCAATATCCAAATTGCAACCCAAATTCATTGCGTAATCCGATGGAGGCTAGTGGTGCCAATTTGGTCATTAATGATATCAAAAAGTGAGCCCAAAATGCAGATTTTAGTCTCTTCCCGGCTATCTATTAGCATCAGCATCAGCCACACGCATGCTAATTGCTATATATAAATGTAAGCTCAACAGAAGCTTTCTAAAAACTTCAGTTTTTGGTTCACATTCAAACCAGATTCTTCCTCTTCCTATTCGTATCGTTCCTGATGTTTGCACAATCATTTTCTCCAGCTACAGGAGATTCATCACTTTCAGTCATGCAGGTATATATATATATATATATATATATATATATATGTAACAATCATTCCCAGTTGTGTGTTTTTTTGTCGATTCGGTTCTATAGTTTTAAACGTTTCGATTCAAGTTGTTCGTTTTAGTTTAGTTCCTATGATTTTGAGAGTTTCGATTTCGTTTACATCAATTTTATGTTTTTATGAATCAAGAGGACAACACAAAATGTGAGATTCTTCATCGATTGAAGAGGTAACAAAACATTTCTTATAAGGGTGTGGAAACCTCTCCCCAGTAGATGCGTTTTAAAATTGTGAGACTGATGGTGATACGTAACGGGCCAAAGTTGACAATATTTGTTAGCGATGGGCTTGAGCTGTTACAAATAGTATCAGAGCTAGACACCGGGCGGTGTGCCAACGAGGACGCTGGACCTCTAAGGAGAGTGGATTGTGAGATCCTACGTCGGTTGGAGAGGGGAACGAATGAAATATTCCTTATAAGGATGTGGAAACTTCTCCTTAGTAGACGCGTTTTAAAACTGTGAGACTGATGGTGATACGTAACGGCCAAAGTTGACAATATTTGTTAGCGATGGGCTTGAGCTATTACAAATAGTATCAGAGTTAGACACTGAGCGGTGTGTCAACGTGGATGCTTGACCTCTAAGGAGAGTGGAATGTGAAATCCCACGTCGGTTGGAGAGGGGAACGAATGAAACATTCCTTATAAGGGTGTGGAAACTTCTCCTTAATAGACGCGTTTTAAAACTGTGAGACTGATGGTGATACGTAACGGGCCAAAGTTGACAATATTTGTTAGCGATGGGTTTGGGCTGTTACAAATAGTATCAAAGCCAGACACCGGGCGGTGTGTCAGCGAGGACGCTGGACCCCTAGGGAGAGTGGATTGTGAGATTCTACATCGGTTAGAGAAGGGAACGAACGAAACATTCCTTATAAGGGGTGTGTAAACTTCTCTCTAGCACACACATTTTAAAATCACGAGACTAGCGGCTATACGTAGACAATATTTATTAGTGGTAGGCTTGAGCTGTTATACAAAATCAACATGAAAACCAAATTCTTTTAGTTATACACTTTTCAAATACTAATCAAAACCCTTTTTCGAATTCTGGAATAATATTTGTACCAATTTGAGCATAGGACAACTGCCTAATCATCAACCTGAATACAAATAAATGTATGTTTACACAGAACGAGCAACAAGTGTTTCTTTGTAGAGCGGTATCGGATTTAAGCAAGGAGATCGAACGGCACAAACTGAGCATCAACGAAGAAGTAGAAGAGATGAAGATGAGCAGAATTGAAGAAGAAGAAGAAGAAGTAGTCATAGAACAAGCTGAATGCAGGTGCTGTGGGCTCAAAGAGGAGTGCACCAAACCCTACATTTTAGAGGTCCAAACCTTCTTCTCAGGGAAATGGGTTTGTGGGCTTTGCTCTGAAGCTGTTAAAGAGAGAGCCTTGAAGTTCCCAGACATAAGCATTGGGCAAGCTGTGGAGTTTCACAGGGAGTTTTGTGATGCATTCAACGCCACCACAAGGCTTAACCCTAAACTCTCCTTGACCACTTCCATGAGAAGGATTGCTAGAAAAAGCTTTGAGAAACGAACCCATGATTCCACTGATTTTGGCTCTTCTTCCAATAGGCTCTCTCGAAGTGTCAGTTGTGATCCTAAGATTGAGTTTGTTTTTGAGTAATCATACGTTGTTGTGTGTTACTAATCATTAGTTTGCTGAAGTTTATGGTTTGGTTTTATAATCATTAACTTTGATGTTCATAAATATATGTTATTGAAGGATGTTTGAATAATACGTATAGCTTTACTTAATTGTTTGAGATCTTATATGGGTTGGAGAAGGGAATGAAGCATATTTTAAAATTGTGTGGCTAACTGCGATACATAGCGGTCTAAAGTGGACAATATCTACTAGCAGCGGGTGGCGGTGTGCCAGCGAAGACATTGGACCCTAAGGGGGTGGATTGTGAGATCCCAACATCGGTTGGAGAGTGTAATGTAACATTCCTTATAAGGGTGTGGAAGCTTCTCTCGAGTAGACGCGTTTTCAAAACCATGAGGTTGATAGTGATGTGTAATGGTCGAAAACGGACAATATCTACTAGCTATGGGCGGCGACGTGCTAGTGAGAACGTTGGACCCTAAGGGGGTGGATTGTGAAATCCCACATCAGTTGTAGAGAGGAACAAAACCTTCGTTATAAGGGTGTGAAAACTTCTCCCATATTACTATACGTAACCATATAAGACAATATCTTACATCATATTAACTACAAAGACATATTTTCTTTAATCAGATCTTAAAAGCTATTATCTTATTATTGAGCATCGAAAGTACGGGAAGCCCAACAGAGTCAAAAGTTGAATTATGCCCTTAAAAACAAGCGAGTCCTAAAGAAAGTAAGAGGAAGGAAAGGGCTTTGCTCGGCTCATTTGACACCTACCTACACCTATCTATTGCTAGAAGGTCAAAAGACTCGAAACTCAAATATCTAAATTTTAGTTTGTCAGTTCTCCGCAACTTCTAGCTTTTCATGAATGTCTCGTCTCCTCTTATACTTACGTGGGTTTGACCTGCCTTCAACTCTGCTTACTTTTGACTCCTTACGTGCTATTTGACGTGCTATTTGACGACCTTACCTTTTTGATTTGTAATTTATGGTAAAAGATTGAAACCCTTAATTTTCCCTTCCCAAGCAATCATGGGTGATCCTACCAATAGGAGTATGGTGGATTCCATGTGTAGAGCCCTAGGGAGGCAGGCATGTGAAGAAAGTTGATGGGCTCGATATATGGGCCTACTGATGGATTTAATAAAGCCCAGGAAGAGAATTGGGCCTACTGATGGATTTAATAAAGCCCAGGAAGAGAATTGGGCCTACTGATGGATTTAATGAAGCCCAGGAAGAGAATGGGCCTAAGTGAGTAAGAGTGGTCCATGGCTAGAAGATTGATTCAAGCAATAATTGCATATGGTCCCAACCAAAGTCCCTTTTTTGACGCACTTTCACCAAAGTTACGCCCAATTGGTCTGCAATTCCCATTTAGCTTGTGAGCTCCACGCCACACGTGCGCAATGCAAAGAAAAATTAACTTTAAGAGGTAGAAAATTAAATTCAAAAGGGTTTGTAGATAATGGTCCATATAATATTGGGTTGGACTTGGACCCATGTCTCTCTTCTAATACCTTATATTATATTGCATGTGAAATGGTGGCCCTATTCACCATGATATTGACGTTTTATTCCCAATTTACTATGCTTTTCATGTATACTATAGTTACGGATTAACCTAAACCCTAAACCCTAAACCCTAAATCAGCTGAATTAATGTAACAGCTCAAGCTTACTGTTAACAGATATTGTCCGTTTTGACCCGTTATGTATGACCATCAGTTTCACAGTTTTAAAACGTATATGTTCTCGGGAAAGGTTTCCAAACCCTTATAAGAAATGTTTCGTTATCCTCTCCAACCGATGTCAGATTTCACAATCCACCCACTTTAGGGCTTCAACGTTCTTGCTTGCACTTCGCCTGGTGTTTGGCTATAATACCATTAGTAATAGCCAAAGCCCACTGTTAGTAGATATTGCCTGCTTTGGCTCGTTACATATTGTCATCAACCTACATGTATGTTAGGGAGTGATTTTCATACTCTTATAAAGAATGCTTCATTCCCTGGTTGAACTGTTACGCTCCGACCCGTGAATATTTGTAGGTGGATAAGCAAATAAATAAATTATATATTAACTTTGTAGTTATCCATAGACATTAAACTCCAAATGTAGGATTAGCCTAACAATGAAATGAAATGAAATGAAGTTTATGTGAGATTTCCATATCATGATATGCATTAGTTTGATTTGTATATGATTATAAACTAGAAAAAACCCACTACTCATGTCTCTTTTCCTTAGTTTTTATTCAATTTCTAATCAATTATTGTACTTTTCCTCAACAATGTGCTTATAATACATGCACTAACACAAACTCCAACTCTTATGTGACAGTATGACTGGATTTGCACTTCAAATCGATGGATTTCGCGAAATGATTTTGTGATATTCGATTGTGAGATTTCAAATCGATCGGAAAAGAGAACGAAACATTTCAAATAAAGGTGTGGAAATCTCGAAGACGCTGAGATCCCACATTGATTTAAATGGGAACGAAACATTCCGTTTAAAATAGTGAAAACCTCTCTCTAGTAGACACATTTTAAAATCGTGAGGCTGATGGGGATACGTAACGTTGATTATGCAAATCTTTCGAAGGATATTTGATAAAAAGTTTAGGTTTAAGTTGATTGAAGGGGTTTAATGTGGTGCATGTGACATTCATTTAGTATTATAATAAGAATGATCCATTAGGGTTATACACACAAATCTTGGTAGGGTCCAAAGCGACCGACATTGATATATAAAGAACTGTGCATTAAGATGTTAATGGCTTGTAAAAGGAGCAAAAGAAGGAAACAGCATGCAAAGAAGTGCATCAAAAACCAGTCATAATCATCCATCTCCATTATTATTATACTTTGAATGTGGTTTTTTAAAGTGTTTTATGGGTGATTAGCTCACATTAATTAATATTGTATATGAACTGGAGCACTAATTTAGGAACATATCTGCCCCTACGAGTTCCTAAAAGAGTGCGAGGGAGACCCTTAATCAAGGGGTTTGGGTCTGCTTCATTTGCCTTCTATACATCATGCTTACGCCATAACTCACTCCATCAATCTATTGATTTGGCTAGAGGTGTTATAGGTTTAGTATCTATGGCGGGAGTGTGAGATTCCATATCGGTTGGAGGGAGGAACGAAATATTTGTTATAAGGGTGTGGAAATCTACCCTTAATAGACGTGTTTTAAAATCGTGAGACTGATGGGAATACGTAATGGGCTGAATTGGACAATATCTACTAGCGGTGGGCTTGAGCGATAATATCTACCTGCGGGTGAGCTTGGGCTGACAATATCTACTAGTGGTGAGCTTGAGCTGACAATATCTACTAGCGGTGAATTTGAGCTGACAATACCTATTATCAGTGAACTTGGGCTGATAATATCTACAAGTGGTGAGCTTGGGCTAACAATATTTATTAGGGGTAAGCTTGGACTGGCAATATCTACTAGCGGTGGAACTTGGACTAACAGTATCTACTAGCGGTGAATTTGGGCTGACAATATCTACTAGTGGTAAGCTTGGACTGACAAGATCTACTAGCGGTGAACTTGGGCTGACAATATCTACTGGTGGTGAGTTTGAGCTGATAATATCTACTAGCGGTGAACTTGAGCTGACAATATCTACTAGTGGTGAGTTTGGGCTGATAATATCTACTAGCGGTGAGCTTGAGCTGACAATATCTACTAGTGGTGAACTTGGATTGACAAAATCTACTATCGGTGAGCTTGAGCTGACAATATTTACTAGCTACAAGGGGAGTTCAAACATGTTCAGAACTAATATGGGACATTTCAGCCTGTTTTGTTTTGTCTTCACTCGCATGTTAAAAAAAAATTCATGTGAATGAGAATAAAACATGCGGAAACAAACAATAAAGGTGTGGAACCCAAATTTGAAAGGATGAACCGAGGGTGGGATTGAGTGGTGGGAGGGAATGAGAGAGAGCATAGAGTGTATATTCCTTCTTGGAGAAAAGGTGGCATTAAAAGGAGAAAGATGGTGCACGTCCACTGTGATTACTGTATTAAGCTACCACCAAAAGACAACCCACTTTCCCTTTTCTTTTCCCTTCCCTTCTCTTCCACTTTCCCCTTTTCCTTTTCATTCTTTCCCATCTTCTGTAAACTCACCATCTCCTGCTGCTACTCCTGCCATCACTGCTCAATATATTCTCTCTATCACTCCCTAACCTTCACTCCCACCCTTTTTTCCACCGTCTCTCCCTCTTGGAGTCCCGCGTTTGCCCGCTAATTTAGGGAATGATCATAGATTTCCGAATCAGGAGTACATCTCCATTGAGACGAGGCCTTTTGGGTAAAGCCCGACAATTCTCACCTCGACCAAAGTACACTTTCTTTGTCCGTTTTGAACTTTCATGATTCCTAACCCTATTCTATGTACTATATATACACTTACACGCCATTCTTTGCCACGCTCTTCTCTATCGCTCCTTCTACTGCTAATCAAGTGTCATGGGGAAGGGAACATCCAAAACCTATCATAATCCCATGGTTTTCTTTCTCTTCCTCCTTCTGGTGAATCAATATTCAGCTGCTCTCCACCACCGCCTCCATGAAACTCACCTTCTTTTATCCTTCAAAGCCTCTGTTTCCAGAGACCCATCACGCCTTCTCTCCAACTGGGTTCCTTCTATTCCCACCTGCCGATGGAATGGCATCACATGCAGCAATCACACCGACTCTAGCTTCACTAACATCACGGCTGTTAACCTCTCCGGCAAGAACATCACCGCCACACTCTCCCACTCTGTTTTCCGACTACCCCACATCCAAATTCTCGACCTTTCCGACAACCAATTCGTCGGGGAACTCCCTTGGAATATGTTCGCCGTCGCCGTCGCCTCTTCTCTTCTGCATTTGAATTTGAGTAACAATAATTTCACCGGCCCACTTCCCACCGGCGGCGTCTCTGTTCTTCAAACATTAGACTTATCCAACAACATGATTTCGGGTTCAATTCCCAAAGATATTGGATTGTTGTTCTCTGATCTTCAATTTCTTGATCTGGGTGGGAATGTTTTGACCGGAGAGATTCCGAACTCTGTTGCGAATCTCAAATCGTTGGAGTTTTTAACATTGGCCTCTAATAAACTGAGCGGCGAAGTTCCGACGGAATTGGGCGGAATGAAGAGACTCCGGTGGATTTATTTGGGTTACAATAATCTTTCCGGGCAAATTCCTGAAGAAATCGGCCAATTGGGTTCTTTGAATCATCTTGATCTTGTTTACAACAAGCTAACAGGGAAAATTCCAGAATCTTTTGGGAATCTCACAAGACTTCAATATCTGTTCCTCTACCAAAATGGTCTCACCGGTAAAATTCCTCCGTCGATTTTCCGTCTTGTGAATTTGATTTCTCTGGATTTAAGCGATAATTCTCTCTCGGGAGAGATTCCGGAGCTTGTAATTCATTTACAGAGATTGGAGATTTTGCATCTGTTTGGTAATAATTTCATCGGAAAAATCCCGAGAGCTCTGGCTTCACTGCCTCGCCTGCAGATTCTTCAGTTATGGTCGAACGGGTTTTCCGGCGAAATCCCGGAGCTACTTGGACGGCGAAACAATCTCACCATTCTCGACGTTTCGACTAATTTCCTTACCGGAAAAATCCCAGATGGGCTCTGTGATTCTAAGCGCCTCTTTAAACTCATCCTTTTCTCCAACTCTCTCACCGGCGAAATTCCACGGAGTCTCTGTTCTTGCAAGAGTTTACGGCGAGTTCGGCTTCAACACAACCGTCTCTCCGGCGAATTGTGTCCGGAATTTACGAAACTGCCACTACTGTACTTTTTGGATATCTCCGGCAACCAATTTTCCGGTGGAATCGACGGCAACAAATGGGATTTGCCGTCTCTTCAGATGATGAGTTTAGCGAGGAATAGATTTTCAGGGAACTTGCCGGAATTTATAAGAAAGGGTAAAATCGAGAGTTTGGATTTCTCGGCGAACGAATTTTCGGGTTGGATCCCGGAGAGTATCGGAAGGTTTTCAGAGCTAATGGAACTTAATTTGAGTAACAA